GGATGACTTCCTGTGTGATAACAATGTTATTCGAAATGTTTCGTCCCGAAACAAAACTCGTCTGAGTCTCCGACACCCTGTAATCCCTAAACCAGTACGATACACAGCCGACTGATGTAGGATGCCACATGGAACCACCGAGTGGCTGACCAACACCTTACTCTTTTCTTGTACTATAAAAGGACCATTTTCATAAATAAAACATCCATGAAATAATATAATTCAAAACTTCATACTGAGGAGCTCCCAAAATAAATATTTACAATCAAAATATTATAGTCCGACTCTTAATCAAATTTATAACTCAACATATACAACAGGGTTTATAAAATATACATGCCCTTCAAAAACTACTGGGACGTATTCTGTAATACTCAAATTTTGTCTAGTGACTAAAATGTAAGTTTTGAAAGTTTAATGGTTAAATTGTAAACTTTGAAAAGTTTATAAACTGAATTTTTAATTTTTAAAAGTTATATATTTTAGCCTGTAAATGAACAGTTTGGATTAAAACAGAGATTTTAGTGAGAATCAGATTTTCGGTACGGAATTTGTGTTAAAAGTTATAAAGCGGTAAAATTCGGTATTGAAATCGGATGATCGAACCGTATTTTTACGAAAAATAGGATATTAGAAATTGGTTGGAAATATTATTTTTCATATTTTAGATAAGAAAAATTTGGCTCAGAGTAGTGCAATTTTTCATATTTGACTGAAACAATGAAATTTTAGTGACTAAAGTGTAATTTTTAAAAATTACATGGCCAAAGTGAAAAGTCAAATTCAAGTTACAAAGGAATATTTTAATGGAAGATAATACAATGACATTTGATAATTTTTCATTTGGTAATTTTTCAAGATTTATTAAGGGTATACTATCCCTATAGTATCGATACTCTACCTGCAGAAGTCATAAAACACATATGAAAATATTATATTTAAATTCCAAAAACCCTAGTGAAGTCCCCAAACATTCTTTAAAGTCTTATGTGATTACAAGGATCATAAATAAGGTTTTATATCATGCTTATAACATAAATCATGTAATCTACCATTAATATATATAACACTAAGCTTCATAACTTACTCTCAAGTTAGAAATCATTTCTAATGATCACAAGTATTATGGAAGAGTTGATAGTGTGTTACATTGCTTTTTGCTTGCTAGAAACTCTCTTAAGTTAACCAAGGATAACTTAACAAAAGAGGGAAAGATTTCAGCTTTAACAAAAAGGGTTAATTACACTTTGAGTCCTTCTCATATTTACTTACTTTTAAAAACATCACTTTCCTATAATTATTGGGAGAATTTGTCTAAAATTGGCTTGAAAAATCTAATGGGCTCTATTGATGGGTTTCGGGTTGACCGAAACTACTAACCTAGAATTCAGGGAAAGAGAGGTTTAGGCGGTTGACAATAATCTTCGTAATCGCCTTGAATAAGACTGTACAGAAACTGATTGGTCGAAACTGCGAAAAATTCTTCGACAACTCAACCTTAGGAATGAGAACTAGAAGGGCACGATTAATCTTAGATGGAATTTTCCCAGTTCGGAAGCAATCCCTCACAAAATTGCAAACGCCAGGTCCAATCATACTCCAATTTCGTTGATAAAATGATGCATGGAAGCCATCAATACCTGGCGCTTTATCTGGATTTATATCAAAAAATGCCTTTTTAATCTCATCCGCTTGGGGTTCCTGCGCTAAAGCTTCAAGTATAGAAGTAGCAAAATTGAAGAATCCCCCCCATTGATAACTAGAAGAAGTCGATATACCATTTGAAAGAAAGAGCTTCCTATAAAATAGCACCGCTGCATCCCGGAGCATCACTTGGTCATCACACCAAGAACCATCCGCAAGTCTTAAAGAAAAGATAGTGTTTCTACGTCTTCGTTGTTTGGCGCAAGCATGATAATATTTGATATTACGATTACGATCGAAGAGTTTCAATAACTGTTTGAAGGTTAGCCAAATTGAGACTAACATCCCTATCATTCTTCCATGTATCACGTAATAACCCTACAAAGTCTTGATGATCCTGCCAGGATGGAAGAAATCTGAACGGTGGGTCACTGATACGAGCCTGGGTCGGCCGAATTCGAAGTAGAATTGGGCGGTGATCCGAGCCCAACTTGTCAAGATGAAGAACCATAGTCTCAGGAAAAACTCGCAACACCCTCCATTAGCTAAATACCGATCAAGACGTTGATGAAGAGAGCCCCTTATAATTTGATTTTATGATATTTAATTTTTTATTTATTCCCTTTATTAATTAGATAATTTTGTATTCCGATTGGATATTTATTCTTAAAAATAAATAAAATAAATTTTAGATCGAAATCTTATAATACCTAAAAGGGTGCCTACATTGTTCAAATTTGTATGCTTAATGCACCAACTTAATTACATGAAAATCGGCCATTAAGGAATTAATAGTAACTTACTTGTATCGGTGTATGACGAATTAATGGTCATCTTAATATATTTATTATGTTTAATTGCACAAACCAAACGACATGATAAATGAATTGTTGTTATTTTTTTAGGTATCGGGTTATAACATTAAAAATGTCAAAAGTGTGAGCATTCAATATCAAATGGTAGATAATTATTTATAAATATATACCGCCTTGTACTTACCTCAGATTAATAAAAAAAATTCATATGTTTAATTTATAGATAATATTTACATCATTATGCAAGTTAAGCTACGCATTTTGTTCATGAATAGTTTAGCGCAGCCCAAAACATAAAATGTTTGTTGTCACCGAACCTTTTTCCTTTCACCACCGTGCTCACATGTCCTTGCTTCATGTCAGAACCGGTTTGATGATCGCCTGGCTGCTCCGATATAAAATTTCCAGCCTCTGTTTCCACGACAGATTTTGATTTCTTGTCGTCGTAAATGTGCTCCCTGAAAGCCGCTGGCACTCCGCCGGTTGCTCCGGCTACGACCTAATTGTAATGAACCGTAACAGACCTAATTGTAATGAATCGTAACATTCTGATTAGCTTTAATAGGGAACCCCACGGAAGGACTATAACATAAGGATCATTATTGTACCAGTTTGTCAAAAGGCTACCAACGTCTTCCCCTGGAGGAATGGATTGTCCACCAACATCGTCTCCAAATTCTCACCCGAAAACGTCGACATTGTTCTCGGAAACCATGTCGTTGTAACCGGTAATGGACGTCGTTCCGAATAAGTTCGGCATCGAGATCAATTCGATCCCGTCGATGAAAGCAAACTTGTTGGAATAGTTAGCCGAAGGATTGAATGTGACTTCTAAAGAATCAGTAGCAAATATTGTTGGCTCGGAACAAGAACGACATTGAAAATGAAAGAAAACCCAACAATGGAAATAAAAAAATGGTCCATGTTTTTCATAGAGAGAATCAAAATCCCAGAAAAATAAAAGTCAAGAGACCTTCAATTGAGGCGTATAGGAAAACAAAGGAAGAAGATATTATCATTTGTATTATTGTTTCATTTATTTTTCTTCAATTTCTTTATCTTGTTTTGATTTCCCATTTTTTGGTTACTTGCTCAAAAAAGTCGATTGGTTGTTGACAAAATTAGTTTGGAATTGATGGATGAGAGTGAGAATCGAATCGAATGGTAATGTGTTGGAATATAATATTATGTGTTTGAAACAACCTATGTTATATGTACATGCATGATGAATAGATATGACTAAATTTTTTAGGTTAATTTTTATATTTATTTCAAAGATTATATTTTTACATTAAGAATTTTATCCGATATTTTATATTTACTTTAATTATCTAAATATATCTCATATTAAAATATATATCGAAAGATTATAAAATTATTCGTGTTAATTAAATTCAGAATGAGTGAAGAATACAAATATAATAAAATATAGGCAAAAGAGTTACCTTTAACTTGCAGTAAACTCAATTTATCAATTTAGTTTATGTCTTATTTTTGCATCAATTTAGCTTTCAAAGTTGTTCAATTACATCATTCTATATTCTACCCTTAAAACCCTAAATCATAATCTCATTATCTCTAAACCATAAACCTTAAACCCTAACATTAAGTATTTATGATTTATAATTTAGGGTTTTAAGTTAGAAAAGGGTTTAAAATGATGCAATTAAATAATTTTGAGGACTAAATTGATGTTAAAATACAATAAAGATAAAAATAATAAATTGGATCTACTAATGACAAAGGTGACCCTTAAACCTAAAATATATATATTTCATAACATACAATAAGCATGTGGGAACTCCCTTAATAACTGGAGATAAAATTTGCAAAAAAATCTATTGCAAAAAGTCAAAGAATTAAACTTGTGTTTTGTCTTATGATAATTTTAGGGTTTCTTTTTTCCCCTTAAACCATCCGAAAAAAGCTGGAGTGCAGTGCAAAAACAGTATATACGATAAGCAGGTGAGCCTATCCAACATGAAAGTAGGGGAGCCGTCATTCCCTCTACCAAAACATTCCAGCGTCCAAAAATGGCGCTTCTTAACTCTCCAAATATAAACATATTGTTCTAGGATTTGAGACAAAACCGACAGTAATAAATGAATGGTCGAATGACGAACCAAATCCTTAACAGATGTTGTTTTGCCATTAAACTTCTCCAAAATCCTAACCAGATCAACCTGGTTGGGCTGGTGTGGTTTCATTAACCAAATCGAAAGTCGTCATCAAGGAGAAAAAAATTTAAAAAAAAAAGAAAAAAAACTGAAAATTTGCAATATATAGCTATTTTATATTCATCCAGAAACCCACCCCGATCCCTCATTTTTCGTTGGCTGTTTTTTTTTCAGTTGATAACCGTGGCCGCCAAGAGCCAATAAGCTTCTCTTTTTGTTCCATTTATTAGGGACAAGATACGAGGCATAGGAGCTTATTGTTTTGTTTTTGTTTCCTTTTCCTTTTTTGGGTTTTCATTTTATTATTTTTTCTTCCATTGATTATATATAGGTTAAGAAAATTATTTAGTGACAAGAGAAAAAAATGGTGGACGTATCATCTTTATCATCTTCATCGTCGACATCGTTATATGAATCTGACACCGAAGAACTTCAACATATGCCCTTGAACCCAGTGATGAAAAGCAACAGGTGTTTATTGAAGCAATTATCGATGTGCGAGACGTCCCGAAACATTGATTGGGAGCGAAGGAACCGGATCCTTCGACAGGAAAGAAGCAGGAACACCGAGGAACCGCTACGGACGACGGCGGTGCCATCGTTGATGAAAAACAGGAGGTATCTGTCGAAGCAATTATCGATGTTGGAGACATCCAGGGAGATAGCCTGGGAGAGAAGGCGACGCCAGATCCTTCGTCAGGAAAAAGGGAAAAACGGTATCCCAGAAGCGAACGGAATAACCGACGAAGACTTGAACGAACTAAAAGGTTGCATCGAGCTCGGATTCGGATTCAATGAGGAAGCAGGCCAACAGCTTTGCAATACATTGCCTGCTTTAGACCTCTATTTCGCTGTGAATCGTCAGCTTTCCCCTAGCCCGGTTTCGACACCTCACAGCAGACGATCGTCATCGATATCATCGTTAAGGTCATCGTCTTTCGGAAGTCCTAAGAGTGATCAAGATTGGAAAATTTGCAGCCCAGGTAAATGTTTCAATGTCTAAATACACGCCTAAACCAAATGAAATATAAAAACAAAGTATGATCATGGGCAAACCACAGCTTTAAACTTCGGTTCCTGAAATCATTTTTAAAACGATGATATTCAAAAAGTCTGAGATTCGAGTCCCCATATCTGTAACTCCTTCCACAAGTTTCCGAACTACGACCACCTTCGCAAACATAAAATAACTCAGTCGATCCATGCAATATTTGATAAATACAATTTCCATGTTCCAGGGGAAGATCCACAGCAAGTGAAGACAAAGCTAAGGCATTGGGCGCAAGCAGTGGCATGCTCCGTGATGCAGTCGTCTTGAATTAGTGGGGTTGGCTTTGTACAGACCTAGACTCAAGGGAAAAAATGGAAAAAGTAAAAAAGAAGAAAAGAGCCAGGAAAGAGAGAGAAATTGACTTCATTATCTTAGGTTCTTTCTTTGATAAATATTCTTTTAAGAAAGAATAAAATAACTGTGGCATCAAGGGGGCATTTTTAACATTTGGATATGCGAAGAAAAGTTTGGTTATACCGTAAGATTTATGACCAAATCTTGTTGTTTTCTGTATTTTCTCTGATGTAAACACCAGCACTAGGCATTTTTGGCCCGAGAAATTTGGGCTGCGGGAAATGTACTGTTTAATTTCCACCATTTAATGATTTTAGTTGAAGTGGTTCAACATAATGATTTCGATGAAGTGATACATAAGACATTTAGATCTGTTCACTACAACAATATTGTTCTACAGCGGTGTTTTTAGCGGCGTTTTGAAAGTAAACGCCACTAACTTTAAACATATAGCATCGTTTATATTTCAAACGCCACAAAATGATAACTTTAGCGGTTTTTTTATATAAAACGCCAAGATAGAGTAGTACTTTAGTGGCGTTTTTATACAAACACCGCAATAGGTTCACACATAGTGGCGTTTTTAGTGGGGTATTTATTCAAACGCTGCTATAGACTTGTACTTTAGTAGCGTTTTTATACAAACACCATTATCGACTTGAGTTTTAGTAGCGTTTTTAATTACAAATGTGCTATAGACTCGTGTTTTAGTGTCATTTTTGTACATACACTGCTAAAGACTCGTACTTTAGTGGCGTTTTTATATAAACGCCGCTATAGACTCTTGTTTTAGTGGCAATTTTATACAAACGCCGCTATAGACTTGTGCTTTAGTGGTGTTTTTAATTATAAACGCCGCTATAGACATGTGTTTTAGTGGCATTTTTGTACAAATACCGCAAATTTACAGTTTTTAAATCCCACCACCCTTAAACCCTTTTTTATTTCCTTGGCATCATCTTCGATATCGAACCATCCTTCTCTCCTAAAACCCTAACAACCGTACATCCTCCATTGCCTTGAAAAGCACAACAATCTGAGATAATAACACTTAGTTGCTAGAGGGATAATGGGATTGAGGGTTCAGGGAAAAAATAAAGGGGTTGCTCAAAACCAAACCTTGGACACCGGTCGAGATGGTGCAGTACTTGAATGAGCTTCTTCTTTTCATCCTCGGTAACACCGAGACCTGTTAAAAGAAACAAGCAGAGAAGGTTTTATTTTTTTGGCTGATTTTCGTTATCCGATTCTTCGTTTTGGGGTAAGCATTCAGATCTGTAAGAACTGTTGAATACAAATCGCTTTTCTTTAGTTCTTTTGAATTATCGAGGGGAGGATCTTGATTCGATTTGTAGGCCCGTCAAAATGTTACCCATGTGATTGCGAATCTACAAAGACAAAAGGTGAATCCAAAAGTAATTGCTTCCGACTATCTGGGAAATAACTTGGATATCATGGATACTATGTTACCTGGGTAAGAATTTTAAATATTCGTTTTCGATGTATATTCAACATCAAAATACATGAAAAAACTTAATGATTGTATGAATAAATCGAATCAAATTCCAGGTTCTAACTGGTCGTGCTTGTGGAAATCAGTCATGAAGACGGTGATATTGCATGGACTTATGGTTCAATCTTAAGGAAGTGCATCCACCATCAGAATGTTGCTAGGTAAGAACATAAAAAAATGGTTAATGTGTGATTTGTTTTCAAAGTGTTTGACAAAATGCTTCACCAAATGGTTACTTTTAGTAATTAAACTGAAATGTTATATCAAAAACTTGAGCATAATTTGTGGTGACGAATATCAAACATATCAATTAGCACGATTAATTATGCTCTTCGATACTGATTTGTTGCCAATTCTTTCATAATCCATTATCTGCTAAGAATTAAAAGAATCGGACAATGTCCGACACTCACAATTGGGACTAGGCTACGCAGCACAGACTATAGAATTTGAACCCATGGCTGCTTAGTTGCATATATAATTATAGTGCTCATAATTCCCTCAGTTTATTGGGGGGGAAATAAGCTTAAAATTGATGATTTTGGTGGGTTGATTTTACAGGTATGTCTTGGAATCAGACCATATGAAGAAGTTCTTTCAGTATCTGCAGAATCCAAATTTTGACATAGCATCAGATGTTCAAGCCACTTTTAAAGTTGAGTACAATTTTGCTCTTTTTCTTTTGTGTGTGTTTTAGTTTGTGCAAAAAAAAAAAAACAAGCATGAACTCTTGAGTGACACACAAAAACATATGTGCATGTGCTTTTGACAAGGCATAAATCCACTGTGGTTGAATTCCTTTCTGCAAATTATGACTTGGTAAAGTGCTCGATTACATACACATATAAGTATATATCCATGTATAATCATAGTGAGTAATATAAGAACGTGTTCAGAAGTTGGAAAGAACCATTTAAATCTATGATGAAAATGTTATGTTTCTTACAGTATAACATAAAGATGGAAAGAACCATTTAAATATCTGATGAAAATGTTATATTCTTACAGTTTTTCCATGAATACAACACCAAACTGCTACAATCGAAAAGTTACATCACCAGACGACTTGCTGTGAAGGTATAGTACACTATTTTTGCTGGTGAGAAGTTTAAGAACTTTGGGTTCTCAAAATAAAGTAAAATTACCAACTTTATCATCATTGGTTTTTTATTCCCACTTGACAACTATCTCATGCATATGATTTTGACATCTCTACATGATGTATTTCATTAGTTCGATGTTTTTATCCTTTGATAACAATAATGGTGGTTAAATTGTGTCTAGTTATATTCTGATAGTTAATTACGTACAATCTCATACCCCTTTTATTTATATTTTTTCCACTCTCCTTAGTTTACATTATAATTTCTACGAATGATGAATGTATAGGGACATGCTTGTAGAGTCCATGTTTCTACAGGCTCTTAATCAAAGGTTCTTTAAAATATCTCGTGGAAAGGATCCACCATATTTCTCATGCTCTGCTGCCTCTGATGATATTGTTCGCCCTTTAAAAGCTTATGTTATTAGCTCTTATTGTAAAGAAAAATGGACTTTACAAACCCTATAATCAATGTTATTTGAGGTTTGCTATCCATTTTTCTTTCTCTTTACTTTTATATATTATGTCTTCTTGTTTCTCAATAATATCATGTTGCATATTCGAGTCTCCAAAATGTGCTCTGTCAACTGCTACGGTGTACAAAACACCAATAGGGGACTTACCTATTGATCTCGAAGGTGAAGTAATGTCCATTTACATTGAGATAAATATTGTTTTCTTCTAGTGAGAATCAGAATAGTTTTGTTGACAAGTCCAGTAAAATGAAAATATCTTATATATTTATGCAATTGTTGCATGCTTCTGCAGTCTGATTCAGTTCCGGTTGGTGAAGATCAGAAGCAGCATTTAGAGTTGACTCGTGAGTTAGCTGAGCTTGAAGACTAAATTCTAGTGAACAATATTTTTTTTTTAATTGAAAGTGAAAGCACCTAGACTAAATTATAGAGAACAACGTCAAACTACATTACATTTAATTTTAATGTTTATATATTTTAAGTTATTTTGTTATTAAGTATTTTTCTATATTACTTATGTCTTAATTAAAATGTATGGTTGTTAATTATATAAAACTACATGATATTAAATTTAGGTATGTGGAGCAGAAATGAAATATGCAAAATCAATTCATCTTAGCCAAAGAAAGGTAACTAGCGGTGTTTGTATCCAAAAACGCCGCTATAGATATGACCTTTTGCGGCGTTTGTCCCAAAAACGCCGCTATAGATCTTAACCTTTTGCAACGTTTGTCCAAAAACGCTGCTATAGATACGACCTTTTGCAGCGTTTGTATCAAAAAACGCCGCTATAAATCTGACTTTTTGCGGCATTTGTTCCATAAACACCGCTAACTTTAGCGGCGATGGTATGACCGGCGCTTCTTGCGGCGTTTTTCCTAACGCCGTAAGTGTTTTTAGCAGCGTTTAAAAATGCCACTATAAGATTAAAAACCGCCGCTAAAACTCTATTCTATTGTAGTGGTTCTCTATTATTACTTGTTTATGCAACTTTTATTCAAATATTCGAATTCGTGACGTATTCGATTCCGTTTTCGAAAAGTTAAAGCGTGAACATAATAAAAGTTTCGAGTGTAAGCGAAGCAACCATTTCAAAAGTTCATTTCATTCATAGACATGTCTATATGGTGATAAACCCTAAAATCAAAATAAAAGATGACCAAAGCTCTAATATCAGTCACAAAGCAAGTAGCAAACAAACTTGGAGGGAAAGAAGAATAAACCAAGTGTATTAATCCTCTTCTAGGTTGATGGAGTCCTTGAACTTCCCAACAAAACCTTCTTCAACTCATCCATTTGTGCTACTACCGATTCTTTCTCCTCCTCGAGTATTTCTAGGTTCTTGCTTCTCACTTCCCTCATCTCTTCTATCCTGGTCTCCACATCCTCCTTGGGTACATGAGCAAAGACTTTTCCGATTTGTACGTGGTGGATCTAAAAATTAAAATTTGGAGGTCCAAAATAAATATTATAATATTCCTTAATAATGACATTTGTTATTAAAAAAGTAAAATCTTAATTACTAATTAAGCAATTTTAATTGATTTAACTTAAAAATTAAAATGTCCAAATTACTCCAACTTAAAAATACATATTCATAATTTTATATATCACAATTTAATTTTCAAATCATAAAATCACCAAAATTTATTAAATTGAAATTAAAATTTAATTTAATCTTCTAATTTTAACTCACCAAAATTAATATTTTTAAAAAAAATTAAAAATTAAAATATGAATTTAACTAAATTTAAGAGGATAAGAGAATAGTAAAGAACATAAAGAAAAGAAAATAGTAACTTGCATGCAGTTTGGTTGTGAAAGTTCATATATAGAAAAATTGCTGATGAACGGAGCCGTGGCAGCTTGGTTGTAAAAGTTC